TGCAAACCAGCATTAAAGTGATGATCCCTTTAATCAGCAAGAATCAAAAGTGCTCACACTTTTTCTGGTCACAGCTTTGTCTGGCAAAAAGTAGAAAAAAAACTTTGCAGGAAAAAGTTAGTTCACTTTTAAAATAAGCCTCTATGTGCTGGCTCAGCTCTCTCTCTCTCTCTCTCTATCCAATGAGCATTTAAACCGCCCTATGCTACCAATTTGTTGTAAATAGTCAAAAATTGTTTAATACTCAGACTATTTGATGGATCTTGCTCTATTGGAAAGAAGAGATTTCTTTGCTTTTTAAAAATACTTTATTCTAAGGGAAAAGGTACACGGGATTGCTACAAATTAACAAAACACTAAGAGCTACATTTCTAAGCTTCCTATACTGAAGACAAGCACACACGTAATGGAGATTTCCTCCTTCTTCTTGACCCCTAGAAAGGAAGTCACCTGGAACAAATGACCAATCTGCATCAAAATAGAAGTTACTTTTCCCGGGCAAATCCCCCATTGGCTTGGTGCCAGGTATCCCTTCCAGGTCAGTCTAAACAATAGCAAACTAGGAATACAAGTTAACCCTATAATGACTGAATCAGACCTTGTAAACACATACATTTCCAACACATTGCCCTCTACCTATATGAATGGACTGGTAACTTCCATTTCTATGTAACTGAAGAAGTGTGGGTGCACATGAAAACCTATACCTTGAATAAAACGTTGTTGAGTAAAACATTGAACTCAAACTCTGTTCCTTCATTTCCATCCTTGTTTGTTGAATCACACCTTGAACCCCTCCTCCCTTTAGGATTTTGCATTGTGCATAAAGCCTTCACTGGCCATACAAAAGTCTACATAGAATGTGACTTGGCTCTACGCTGCTGCTCTCAGGGATCAGTTACCCTTATATACATCGGTATTTCGTTACAGAGCTGTAAAGACTCCTCCAGCCAAACATAATATGGAGTTTCTGCACATCAGATGTAGCTCTCTCTGACAATCAGGAATTTGGCAGACACTGCAGCAGCAAAAAAAAAAAAATGCCTCCCCTTCGTTGGATTCTTGAATGCAACCACCACCCATTCACAAATATTGTCACTGCAGCAGTCGTTTATCACAGAGCTCAGACTGGAAACAGAGGAAAACAGCTTCACGGAGGAATGCGACAGGCGTTGCTGTGCATGGTGCCGAGCTTGTCCCGTTGCAAAACCCTGCAAAAACTCTTTGCCCAGAAGAAGCAACATGGGTGGAAAGTGCCATCGAGTCGCGGCTGACTTATGGCAACTCCATATGGCATTCAAGGCATTCCGCCAGGCGTTCGAGTAGGAGCCGCTGCCGCCACTATTCTACCACCGAGGTGTCAAGTCATCAGCTGCCCTATAAGAACGTGGGCAAGCGGGCCCTGGCAGAAGTTTGAGACAGTGTAGTGGGAGACCACGCTACTGAGACAGCTGGCAACCAAACCTGGGGGGGGGGGTTGTCCCCATCTTGGATGATCAATATAGGTATAGCACCGTATTACTGGAAGGTTTTATTGTGATTTTAAATGTTTTATTTATTATATTTTGTTGTTCAGTCACACAGTTGGACTCGACTCTTCGCGACCCCATGGACCAGATCACACCAGGCCTTCCTGTCTTCCGCCGTCCTCTGAAGTTGGCTCAATTTCATGTTCGTTGCATCGCTGACACTGTCTAACCATCTCATCCTTTGCCGTCCCCGTCTTCTTTGACCTTCAATCTTTCCCAGCATCAGGGTTTTCTCCAGTGAGTGCAAACATGTCTTTCAAATGCCGGGAAAGATGCCTGGCTTTAAAGTTTGATGCGAACGTATCAAGCAAGCTAGTACTGTGAAAGGGTCATTATGGCTCCTGATTCTGCCACTTTCTCCAGATACTTGGTGACATATCTCTGCAGGTCTGCTATTGGTTCACTGACTTCAGCCTTTGAGAAGTTCCTGGTGGTGATGCACTGTGCTAAAACTGATGCTGCTTTTGGAAGAGCAGTTCTTCAGAGCCTGTTTCTTCAAGACGACCTGCAGATAACATCAGGTACATGGCTCCCTAGTCATCAAATCACCGCAGACTGTGACTGCAGCCATGAAATTAAAAGACGCCTGCTCCTTGGGAGGAAAGCGATGGCGAACCTCAACAGCATGATAAAAAGTAGAGACATCACCCTGCCAACAAAAATACGCATGGTCCAAGCAATGGTATTCCCAGTAGTCATGTATGGCTGTGAGAGTTGGACTATAAGGAAGGCCGAGCGCCGAAGAATAGATTCTTTTGAACTATGGTGCTGGAGGAGACTCTTGAGAGTCCCTTGGACTGCAAGGAGATCAAATCAGTCAATCCTAAAAGAAATCAACCCTGACTGTTCCCTGGAAGGCCAGATAATGAAACTGAAGCTCCAATACTTTGGCCACCCAATGAGAAGGGAGCACTCACTGGAGAAGACCCTGATGCTGGGAAAGATTGAAGGTCAAAGAAGACGGGGACGGCAAAGGATGAGATGGTTAGACAGTGTCATAGATGTAACGAACATGAAGTTGAGCAAACTTCAGAGGACGGCGGAAGACTGGAAGGCCTGGCGTGATCCGGTCCATGGGGTCGCGAAAAGTCAGACTCGACTGTGCGACTGAACAACAACAACAACAACAACATGGAGCAGAGGTCCATCAGTGGCTATGAGCCACAAGGTCTAGATAGGAACTCTCGGTCTGGGGCAAGTCTTCTTGGTGCTTTGGGGGGGGGCAAACAGTGGGAGGGCTCCTAGTGTCTTGGCCCCACTGCTGGACCTCCTGATGGCACCTGGTGTTTTTGGCCACTGTGTGAGACAGAGTGTTGGACTAGATGGGCCATTGGCCTGATCCAACATTGGCTTCTCTTATGTTCTTCTTATGTTTATAAATGTATTGTTCTGATTTTACTTAAGTCTTGTTTTAATTGTTTTTATACACCAATGTAAGCCATCCTGAGCCGGCCTTGACGGGGAGGGCAGGATATAAATTAAACAAATAAATAAATAAAGACATTTGGAGGTAGCCTCAAACTTAGCATAACATGCTTGGGATACAGCCAGCGATGCAGGGGATTCTTTGTCATCAAGGGAATCCATTCTGGTTAACCTTTTGTCAGCTTGCTATGTCTGCTACACCTAACAAGTATAGCACTATACTGCCCTTAGGTATTGGCTGCTGATTTATTTACAGGAAGCCCAATTCAAACATTTTACCTTACGGTATTAATTTACTGAAATACTTACATCCTTCCCTTCCCTTTCTGACCTGCCACTCAGGTCCCTCTAGAAGCCCTTGCGAATAAAACAGGTCTTCAAAGCCTCCCAAAAACTTCTAAGGAGGACTCTAATAAACCTGGTTTTAAGACTGATCAAAAATTGTTTTCAGAGCACTGCCTAAGCAATTCGACATATAAGTTATGAAAGTGAACACGGGCTCCAACTTAAGGACAGGCATTCACAGAACAACGTAAAGTGTGCCTTCTGTCTGCATAATTATTTTGTCCCACAAGATTTTTACTTTCTGAGAAGGCCACCATGATAACTAAAGACCATCTTCATGCACAATGAAACAAAACTGGTTCTGGAGTAGCGTTTTGGAACACCCCGTGCAAACGGACACAGCTCAACAGGCTTTGTATGGTGCCTTTGAGAGGAAAGTGCCTCGTAATACTCTAAGCGATAAAGCCTGATACTGAGCGGGTCTCTAAGTGTTCTGATCTGATATCGATGCAGAACAGGGGAACACCATGGCTGGTACAACAGCAGTCAGAGTTCTACGCTGAGTGTAAATAAATGTGCACAAATCTAAAACCATTCAATTCATGCAACTAAAATAACCAGAGGAGCAAAAGGATGACTTATAAAAACAGTATCAAAAAAGAGAAAACACTGATTGTTCACTTGTCATTTAATACAACCAGAAACATTTGTATGAATTTTAAAAAGCGTAAAAACAACTGAAGTGAGGTCTCAGTGTTCTCTGGAAGCAAGACTTCTGCTTAGCGTAGGAAATAAATGAAACTGCCTAATCTCTGCAGCTGTTTCCCTGAAGCAGACAACCATCTGTGTATGCACAGGTACTAAATCCCAGAAAGAGATACAGATCTCTCAGCAGAAAAGAGCAAGAATCCAGTGGCACCTTAAGGACTAACACAATTTGTGACAGGGTAGGAGCTTCTGTAAGTCACTGCTCACTTCTTCAAATAGAGATCTCTCAGTGTGACCAATTCACACTCCAAGCCTGTGCAGCACTGGGGACTGACTGCACAAGATATTAACCACTCAATGGCCCTATGCAAATGACAAATGTCCATTTGCAGAGTGATTCTCTTGTGTGTCCTGAAACGCTTTATCCGCCTGCATAAGGGACCATGTTGAGCCAGAGGGGTTATTTATTCACTTCATTTACAACCTGCCTAAAAGAGACCCAAAGTGGCTTACATAACTTTCCTCTCCTCCATTTTATCCTCATAACGACCTTATAAGGTAGGTTAGGTTGAGAGTCTGTGACTGGCCAAAGGTCACCCAGCGAGCATCCATGGCATGAGTAGGGATTCAAACTTAGGATCCCAGATCCGACACTCTAACCACTACAGTACATGAGCTACTGGGACATCGACTTCCCCCACTGGACCATTTATATTCATTTTAATTTCCAGAGTGCCATGAGACCCATCCAAACAGCTGCCTTCACTGCCTTCTATCTGGAATTTAACCTGCAAAACCAATCAATCCCCAGAGAAGAAGGGACAACCAATTCCAAATGTCTGCCATTCCCCCAGGCTTTAAGAGCAGTATATTAGAACCTTGTTTTCTCCTCAGGCTCAACTCACAATGCTTTTTTAAACTGCTGTTTAAACCATCTTCTCGGAATGTCTCTTTCCAGGCATAATGCAACATGCCCTAAATGGCTTTGGGCCACAGTACTTAAGGATTGTTTCCTCTTGTACCACCCAGCCCTCAGGTAGACTCTACCCCACAAGCCCTGTCCTCTGTGCCCCTGGCTGCAACCAGAGACAGGCCTTTTGGGTGGCGGTACCTCGCCTTTGGGATACCCTTCCCACGAGGCTCACCCTGCCCTACTCTCTTTTAGGTGCCAGGCCAAAACCTTTTGTTTAACCCAAGCTTTTCACTAAGGTGTTCCACTTGGTCTAAAACCCTGGGGGGCATGTGAGGCATTTCTAGTGGGTGATGAGAGTAAAAAGACACCTTGCACGCAGGAGCTGTGTTTGCTTCTCCTCCATCTGTTCGGTGCGGCCAGAAGCCCAAACCTTTCGGCATAAGTCAAAGGGCTCTTTGTCCGGACCTTGACTGAACAAACTAGTGGATCCAGGAACTGCCCAGGTTATGTTCTACCATATTTTGTTTCCACTGTTGTTCACTTAAAACTGTATTTTTGTAAGCCATTTTGGATCCCTACTGGGGAGGAAGGACAAATAGAAATGCTTAATATTTTACCAGTTTTTAAAGGCCACTTCTAGCCCAAGGACTCTGCTACGAATATCGTTTTAGGCTGCTTACTGTAGTTTGGGTCTATTTTAATACATCTGCCTTGTTTCTATGATCTCTTATGATTGATAACTTTTATTTTTACATTTATGTTATATTGTTTTTACTTTGTGAACCATCTCGAGCAGGGCTCTGGAAAGGTGGCATAAGTAGTTTATAAATAGATACCTAACATTTACCTCAGAACATAAACTTCCCAATGTTGCTACTTCTCTGTATTTCCAATTTTTACCAGCTACCAGTTACCTACCAGCACTCTACACAGCAGCAAGAACTGTCCCTAGAGAAAGGCACTCTCTGTGCAGTCTTTATCTAATGCAGTCACATCACTGGAAATTCTGGGCTGTGACACATTTTCTTTGGTTCTGTGAGCCAGACCCAAAATTTAAGAGCCAAATGAATTTTCCAGCCCTCAGGGGTTTGTATTTTAACGACCATATTTTCTAACTAACGCTGCCACAAAACCAAATCCTAAACTTTTCAGTTTCTCATAATTCTATTAAAGCTCTGACAAAATTGTTTTAGCATATAAATAAAAATAGGGTAATCATGTTTTTCAACACTACAACGAAAAACTAACATCTGAACCTAACCTTCCTGTTTCTCATAACTTCATTATTTCTTTTAAAAGCTCTGTGTAATTTTGTGTTCCCAACTCTGGGATGGGTAATTTATAGAGATTTGGGAGTGGAGAATGGAAGGCGTGTGGGGAGGGAAGAGATCTCAGTGGGTTATAATGCCATAAAGTCCACCTTCCAAGGCAATCCTTTTCTCCAGTGAACTCATCTCTATAGTCTGGCGATGAATAGTAATTCTGGAAGATCTCCAGGTCCCACCTGGAGGTTAGCAATCCTAGTTTCACTGAATATCAGTGCCAGTCTAGAAAACTAAAGGTTAAGAAATGAGTTCACTGATCACCACTGAATGTTGTGTTATATAACACAAAAGCCACAGTGAAATTTCTAGGTGCCGTGGCGACTTGGTGCCAGGGGTTTGTTGATTCCCCTTGGAATAGGGGAACTAAGGATATGCTTGGAGGATCATCATAAATTAATGCAAAACCCATAACTATAAGCTGCTCAACATGACAAGCAGCAGTGACTTTTACAAATTAAGTGAGTTAATTTTGTTTTGGGATGGCCTGGTTACCACATTTCCATGCAAAAAGGTATAAAGATAAAAGTGAATGTAATACCTAGATCTCCAGCAGATTTGATGTCAATGTTATCAAAACCACTTCCGATTCGAACAATTATTCGAAGTGCTTTAAACTTTTCCAGATCTTCACGAGTTAAAGTGATGGTGTGATACATCAGAGCACCCACTGCTTCATTGAGTACCTGGAGTGGGAAACAAAGAAATACATAGTCCAATTATCTTCTCTTCAGAGTATTCGGGATGACTTAGCAACACAGAAACAGACTTCTCTCTCTTTCTCCCCCCAAAACACGGGATTTTACAGTGTTACTCCATTCTGATGAGTGAACAACACAGTTGCCAGCTCCAGGTTGGAAAGTATCCGGAGATTTTGGGGGTGGAGCCTGAGGATGGTGAGGTATGGGGAGGGGCTTTAAAGGGGCCACTTTCTCCAAGTGAGCTCGCCTCTCTCACCTGGAGATCAGCTGTAATTGCAGGAGATCTCCAGTCATCACCTGGAGGCTGGCAACCCTAACGAGCAACCGTGGAATGAGCTCCGCCTTCTGGGATATTTGGCCAGGTGGCAAAGTCTTCCCTCCCTCTGACTTCAACAGACAGACACATACAAAGCAGAGGCAGAGCATGGCAGCCTTAGCTCACATGACTCCAACTGAAGGCATCATGGCCACAGTGATGTCCGTATTGGCGACCTCAACAGACATCACTAAGAACTGAGATCATCCATTATCGACCTACATTCAGCAGAGCTCCAATGGCTGCTGTGTAAGACCAGTAAGTAGCCGAGCCCCTGCCAAAATCGCCTAGAGCTGCTGTCCATATAATAATAATAATAATAATAATAATCTTTCAATTTATTGATCGCTCAATCCTTGCAGAGCTGCCGGCTCTGAGCGATTTACAGTTACTAATGTGTAGACACGGGACTAACAATGAAGGGGGTAAGGGAGGACAACATATATCATTTTTAAATCACACACACTTCGTAGTCAACAGGGAGTTTGGTCAGCTATAAGAATCAGACATGTCCGGCAGCATTCTTTTAGTCGGGGTCGCTTGATGTCGTCAGCATTTTCTCGGTCGCAGCGCACCACTGCCACCGTCTGGCCAGAATGGCCCATTGCCGGCTTTTCTTTGAAGCTGTGTAGCTCTCTCTCCGCTTTTGAGCTTACGTGCGGACCTTCCGTTTGTCAGCTAACACTTTCCCACCAGGGGGGTTAAGTGTGCCCACCCTCTCTAAGGAGTGGTACCCATTTTATCTACTCGCCGAAGCTTTCGAATCGCTGGGTGGACGGGGAGCTGGGGACACGGCTGGTAGCTCACACCAGTGCGGGGCTCGAACTGACAGCAGTCCTGTTCAGCTCAGATGTTTAACCAGAGGATAAATCCCCTGTGCCACCGCTCCCCTTTTATTTGCTGTGGTTGTTCAGTCGCACAGTCGAGTCCGACTCTTCGCGACCCCATGGACCAGCTCCCGCCAGGCCTTCTGGTCTTCCGCCGTCCCCTTTTATATATTTTTTTATATATGCATGTATGCTCTGGAACCTGCACACCCTAAGGAACTCCAACTCCCAGACAAACCTACCTAACCATTATGGTCATCTTCAGGAGCCAGGAGCACAGCTACAGTAGGGCATCTTGGGGCCACGCCCCCTTACTCATCAGCCATGCCCTACACGTCCTGCTCTCAGAAACACCTTTAAGAATATTTACCTTGACATTTTGAATTAGTAAGTTGTGCCACACCCTGCCCGCAGCCTGATTTACAGTAGCCCAGCCGACGTTCCCGATTTCACTTCCTCGTTCCTGCCTAGCCTTGTCGTCCTGATTCCCCGGTCCTCTTGGCAGACGTGACCACGCCAGCCAGATTTACATCCTGATTCACTTCTTTGTTCCTGCCTTAGCCTGTTGTCCTGATTCGTCGGTCCTGGCACACGTGACCTAGCCAGCTCTGCTCTCTCTTCCTATTTGTTTACCATTCCGATTCCATCCACGTTGACTGGTCTGTGAATCACACACATTCCTATGGACACTTAAATCTCTTGGGGGGGGGGGAACTCAGCACAGGGCTTTGCCTGAAAGCGAAACCTACCGGGAAGGGCCGAAAACTAAGTTCAATTGCTGGAAAAGCCTTCGCCCAAAGCAAAAAAAGGCCAGTGGAGACTGAGAAGAAATGGCTCAGGACAGTTCTGGATCATGTGAGGGGCTCAGACTCAGACAAGTTTTGCAGTATGAGATTCTTCCGGGGAGGGGATGGAAAATGCGCGTCTCAGCGGCATGTGAAGCCAATGCAAAGACACAGCTGCAGGATCAGACCTTTGAATCCTCCAGGGCAGTTATTTTGGCCCTCCTGAGCAGCAGCAGCAGTAGCAGCGGCTGCCCCAGAGCTTTGCTGGAGACCCCTGCTGGAGTGTATTTATTGTATTTTTAATATTTTATTATATTTAATTTTTATTGTATTTTTAATTTTTTAATTTTAAATTCTGTGACGTCAGATGTCATGCCCCACCAGTACCCCCCCCTGAAAATTTACTGGTGAAGGGCTTGTCAGGAGCCCTGCTGAGGCCAGGCAAATAGCCAGCCGTGAAAGGGCCTTCTCAGTTATGGCACCAAAAGGTTGATCTCCCTCCTCCATCACTGTAGTCCGTCAGCAGGTAAAGATCTTTCTGCTTCACCTGGCGTTCCCTTACTGATCCTTCCTTATTGTCCGTTTTTAATCGCTGCTTTTAAAGCTGGCTTTACTGTCTTTCTAACTGTTGTTCACTTCCTCAAGGGCCCTCACTGGGCAGAAAGGTGGCATACAAATGCTTTCTACAGAGAGACTCTCCAAGTGGGCAGAAAACATTGACTTATTGTTGTTGTTCAGGCCGTTTTAAGCCACTTTACCCGACTCAATCCAAGCTGCTCAAAGCAGGCTATAATGTCACCAGGCCCCACAAAAAAACAAACAACAAAAAAAACCCACCCACCCCAGAAAACCGTCACATTCTACAAATATTTAAACCCGAGTAACCTCACAGTTACTCCACCATCAAGAGGCTAATCCACAGGGAGGGGGGAGAAGGGCAGAGCCGGTATGAAGAAGCTCTGCCCAGCGGCTGTGCAGCATCTCTGCTGCCTCCCTGATGCAGGTGGACACGCCCCCCCCCAGGCCTGGAACTGGCCCAGTTCACCCTTCGTTGCTAATCACAGACACCACCCACTAGAGGTAGAGCTCCTCTTACGGTCCTCCAGCCCCACTTGTCTTTTCTGACTCTTACAGGGGCAGGAGCCAATCAGAAGCAGCTGCTGTTAGCAAGAAAGGCAACATTTCCAGAAATTTTGAAACCATGTGGGGAAAAATGCCCCCTTTTTCTCAGGGAAGGAAGCTTTGAGAAAAACAGAAATATATGCAATACTTACTTTCCTATCAAAGTTAAACTTATTTTACAGATTTAATAACATAAAATATATCATTTCTATATTTTATGTTTTAATTAACATGAAATTATAGTATTTGGCATATTTATGGGATTCAAAATTATAAATGTCTTGATTTTCAATAAGAAAAATAGCAAGTGTGCCCAGTACTTGAAAAAGGGTTGTAAACTCCTGCATACTGTGCTGAAAGGTAGGGAGAAACAGAAGTTGAAAAATTTTGTAGTCAACAAAAGAAAGTATGTTATTTGGACAACGTAACCTCTTGTTCACAATAGGTCACCTATACCTGAAGAAATGAGCGGTGCCTCATGAACACTGATACCCTGCCACAAATTTTGTTAGTCTCTGAGGTGCTACTGGACTCTTGCTCTTTTCTACTGCTGCAGATAGACTGACATGGCTACCCATCTTTGGATACCACGGCTACCAACATATTTGGATATTAAGTTAAACTTCATAACACTGAGAACACTGAATTATTGAATAATGTACTATCATCATTAAACATATAGCATATTAACTGTTGCCAAGATCACTTAAATTTAAATTTTAAAAAAAGTCCTTCCCTAAAAATGTATAGGTCTACAGTACACATAGGAATCCCTACATCTCATGCTCAGCTCCCCTGCAGACTGATAAACCCAGAAACTGGGGCCAGGTTCAAATAATGGGGATCCCACTGGATTGTAGGTAAATGGGAACCCCTCACCCCAAAAAGGGAGGGGGTTAAAAAATCCCCCCTCCAAACAGGAACAGGGCCCGCACTTGCACAGACAACATCAATCTACTGTAAGTGGGGGAGGGGGGGAGGAGAAGGAGTCAGTTGAATGGAGGCACCAGTAACGCCAGCCCTGCAGGCAGGGGGGGAGATCCCCCCCCGCCAAGCGAGCTAGGCAGGCAAATGGGTAGGTGGGAGCAGCTGCAGCACTGCAGGCAGATGGACTGGCCAGCAAGGGGCTGGCCCACTGAACAAGCAGGGGAGGATGAAACTTCCCTCCAGGAGTCTCGTGATCCCGCGTTGTCATTATCCCAACACTGCAGACCATCTTAACACAACAAACTAAATATTGTCAGTACATTTTGTCTTTCATTTCAAAAGTGGGTGGGGGAGCTTTTTCAGTGTTTCCCCAAATTTCCCAATGGAAAAACTGAACTTTTCATGTCATATGCTTTAAGCGGGGGGGACGGGGGGGGACCCTTGTCTTGAGAAGCATTTCAATCATTCTGGAAGACAAAATCTTTCACAAGAGGGTTTTTTTCCAGCATTCCAGAAACTTTCACAATTTTTCCCCTGGAAAAAATGCCTCTAGTGTAAAACACCCACACACAATTTTTTCTCCCCCCCCCCCAAGCCTTCAGATCTCTACTGTCAGCCGAATCTGAAAAGCACGTCATCCTCTGGAAAGATGCAGGAGGAGAGAATGGCCCGCAGTGTTGGGGGGGGGGAGCAACAAAGCTAGTTTTGGAGGTGGAGGGGCCTAAATTGGCTCCACCTTCTGCTTCTGGGGAAGAGAAGCAAAAAATAAGCTCCTTTTGTGCCTGAAGGGCAGAGGTGCCTTCTGACTGGGCTGCCAACTCAGGCAGGGATGGCATTGGTCCTCATTTGGGGGGGGGGAGATAGTGTCTTTCTCCAGACCTGGGGATTCCCTCGCTATGCAGAAACCTCCCTCTTTCTTGTGCCCCAAATTGTTGCTCTGTTTTCATTGTCATCACTGGATACTTATTTATCCAGCACATTTTTGTCCACACCATTCCTCCAAAGAGC